AACTGACAATGACTTAAGTCTTGTATAGATGGATTTTGTTGGTTGGCACACACGTGTAACGGGCGCGTGCGTAAATCAACGCTGCGTACTCGGTCGCTTTCTACGTGCTCACCATGATGATCGAGGATCCGTTTTTCAGGGTCTCATCTATCAGGGACGCGTTCCTATTCGATGGGAGTACATTGCCTACGTGCATCTCTATATGCGTATCAACTCATTTTCTATATGCATATGCGAGATTTTCTCGACAAAAAACATTATTTCCGATATGAGAGTCATTTGCACTTGGCCGCGCACGCACTCGGACAGAAATACAAAGTTAACGAAAAGAGAAACGACAAAAAGACCAGAGTTTCTTTTTTTCCAGCAGACGAGTCTCCCTCCAATTGATAACCCTTTTTCTTTTCTTTTTTTTTCTTTACAACTCCAAAGTACACACGTCCAAAGGCATGGCTATCGTATGGCGAGAACATAAAAGAGACTATTAAATGGAGATAAGATTAAAGTGCTAAAGATCTCTGTTCGAATATATTCCGGGTGATCCGATTTTCGACTCAAATTTCGCAAAGAAAGTTATTTTAATGCCCTTTCTCCGCTAATTTATACGCTTATAATTATATTTACAAATATTTCTTTGACAGTTTAAATAAGTTCAATTTGATTTATTTGGAAGATGGGAAAATCAGAGCGTGACCGTTTTCGGAAGTGTCGATAAAGGTCGCAGTGTCGGTTCCCAAAAGGCAAATCGAAGTTTAAAATTACGATGTAACCGGGTTATACCACCCATCTCTGAACTGCATCGGCCTGGATCTTCGAAAATCTCAACGAGACGAGATATCGATCAGTGAATCAAAGAAAACAAAATAAAAGAAAAGATCGCAAAAGGGAAAGAGAGAGAGAGAGAGAGAGACGACGAGAGTTGGCGTTAGGAATAACGAACCTCGAAGAAAGTTACCATCTACAAAGATGAAGCTGATAAAAATAATCTTGCGTATATAGTTTCGCTTGTACGTTAAACACCACGCCTCTCTTTCGATGTCCTCTTTCGCCAGATTTTTCATGCACGTATCTCATATTCCTGGCACGTTGCAAATTTTATTTGGAATTTTGGGACGCAAAAAATCGTACGGAAAAATACAGAATGATTCGTGAATACGTGTATCGAAACAGAACAAGCGAATAAATAATTCATTTCGCGTTCTAAATCTAATCGATAATACACAATGTCTCTTTTCGATATGAACAAAGTCAATAACGGGGAGGGGGGAGGAGGGGGGAGGAGGGGGAGGATGTTTAATTACATCTTGGAAAATTCGTAAAAGTTCGAACTCGAAAGGAGGCAAGTCATATACATATACTTAGAATCCAATAACGGATGAGTAAAGCGGTAATCTTATACCGAATATCAACCCTCGATGCTTCAATACTCAAAGGGTTCTCTGTTAATTAAATCATCGCTGGGTAAGTCTAGAGTAGCAGGTAGGGTCACCAAGATCGATGAAAGAAAGAGAAAACGAGTATAACTCGAAGGGTAGACTTTAAAATAAGAGTTTCTTTGAAAAGAAACTTTGGTCTTGAAATACTTTCTAATAAAAACAAAATAAATGAATCGAAAAGATTGAAATAATTCTCAATTATATATACGCGTTTACATTGAAAAATAATAATATGTTAGATAATAACTAAGACTGCTACTAAATGAACTGTTACTTGTAACGGAAGACTACCAAAACCCGTCCAATTTACACAAGCCATTACAGTAAACATCGTTACGAAAGAGATCTAACGTTATTACGAGTCTCGCAATCGCGTAAACGCCATATAATCGGCTCTTCTTCCAACTTCCTGTCGCTTTCCAAAGACGATAAACGTAAGTCGATTGTGAGAAAGAGAAGAGCTCGTCTAAGACTGCTTGGATATACGCATATACATATATGCTAACCGTTGACCATTAGACTAATAAATAGAAACATCGAATAACCAAATGAAATATGATAGTACTATTAAAATAATAATAATTAGTCCAAATCGCAGGAGTAAGTACGAAATAACGGATCGAGATTAAATCATCGATCATGTCAAAGCGTATTTTCATAATAAACTTTTTTTAAACATTTACTTATGGCAACGTAATCGAGGCAATTAGAGCGGTGCATTTATCGACGAGTTTACCTATACTAATCACAAGCGTTACTTTTGACTGTTGCTTCCTTCTTCTTCTTTTTCTTCTTATCGGCTATTAGTAGGTCAGTATGCCGAGATTTTTGTAGCTTGCTGATACTCGCATTCATACAGTTAGTCGGTTCGCCGTATCTTCCTTTGTAAATTTTCTTCTCCTCTTAGATGATTAGAAAATTAGACAAAATTCGCTGTGTCGCGTGTCATTTACCTATACGCAAAATAAATTTCATACTTTTCTAATACGGCACGTGTATATCTACGTGAGAATATAGAAAAATGAATAATGAAATCACAAAATATGAAATGTAAGATAAGGAAGAAACAAGCCATCGATGTTTTTATATTGATTGTCCCTAATGATAAGATTTCTTAGTAGAAGTTATAGGAAATTGAGAGAAGATTAGAAATAATCTAAAAGGAAAGTGTCGCTCGAATGAATTTGGCTGAGGGATAATAGAAAACTCTTGTCGAGATTGCTTTATGCAGGAACGCGGTTTACACGCGTACGAATGTATGCGCGTATGTATGTACACACCTGCTCTCACTTTGGACGCTGTCCTGTAGCGATATTGCAAAGTCGTTACTTTCGAATAACGGTAGTTATCTTTTGCTTGAAAAAAAAAAAAAAAGAAAAACCAAAAGATAATGTACTCTTATTACTTTGTGTGTTCCTTATTGGTTATTAATAATAATGAACTTGTTCGAAGCTTGTCTTACTTCCTAGCGACTAATCGTTCATTAATAATATCGCGTATTGATATTACTTTTAATAAAAACCAAAAAGCAAATTGAGATTCTAATATTAATAATTATTTGTCGAATGAAATATCGCAGAATAATAATTCGTACGCTACGACAAGATCGGAAAACTTTCAAACGAGTTTAAAAGATTCGAGTTTGCAAAGGTGTTTCTAACGGGATGAAGGAGGAGTGGAGAGCTAAACGACGCATACGTGCTCCTCCTTTTTCGAATCTCGTTGACGCGATAGTAGGATTCAAATGAAACAATGTCTCGAGGAGCGTAAAGAAAGAAACACGTTCGACCTTTTCGTTCGCGTCTGGCAAATTAAAATGCGTCTCCTATAAGCGAGAACGGTTCGACACCGTTAATGGCGGACGCGCCACACGACTAAATTTATTCTAAAACGCCACTCTCGGGTCAGTGTGCCACGATTTTTATCGAGCAACAGGTGTACTCTTGCGACTCGGCACGTCGATCGTTCCTTCCTTCCATTTATTTTCCAAGACCTTCTTCTCCTTTATAAAGCTACATTATTATACGAAACAAAGAGACCTATTTGGATAGTATACATATGGTCTCGAAACTTGTCGATAACTTGTCGAACTTTGCAAATTTGTTTCTAGTCAAAATTTGAAAAAAGTCTAATGGGTATATAACAAAAAGAGAGTTCTTTGTTCCTTCGACTAGTAAGAAACGGTACAAGAGTTACGAACGAGAGTGGAATAGAGAAGCGATCTATGAATGAGCCCACGCTTAAAACACCTACGTTGAATACCAGTCGAACGAACGCGTTTCGATGCACTCCAACACGTTTCTCCTTTCATTTTAACTTGAAAATTTGTCAAATTCTTGAATAAACTATGATTTATCAACGATTTATCTAACTCAAACTGAACACTATTTTTATCTCCTATTTACTATTCAATATTATAAATTGTCAAAGTATGTAAAGGACAAATTCTTGAAAATCAAAACTATTCTGGAACAAATTCGAAAGTAGAATATTAAGAAAATTCAAAACTCGAAATCCACTAAACGAATAAGTACATTTTATAGTTGAAGAATGTACAATAGTTGTCTGAATAATCAAGTGAAACCAATGTCTGTACCTATCAAGAAGTCACGCATGGAATCGTATGCGGGTAAAAAGATGACTTCGACGTAGGAGAAACCTTCCACTTCCGTTTCCGTCTTTCTCCAAATTCGAAGAAAATTCAGAAAAGATATATATATCTGTCAATTCGTTTTTATCAACGGTAAAAACGATTAATCATAAATTTAAAGGAATATTGTAAATCTATAGAAACTCTAAATTCGAGCCGAACGTAATCGATTTGAATATGTGTCAGTGTTGACCTATGACACTCGACGATATAGCGCGAACAAACTTGTGCCATGAACTCGACTCGATCTCACCGTTATGCTCGACCCATAAAAACGATCATGGTAGAAAAGCTACGAGAATGGAGAGGCGAGGGCCAAATGAAGAGAGAGAGAGAGAGAGAGAGAGAGAGAGAGAGAGAAGCCTCAGTCGGGTCAGGAGGACGTACGGACGTTCGTAATGGACGTACAGAAAAGGAAGTATAAAAGGACAGAGAGAAGGAAGAAAACTACGTCGAACGGTTTCTAAATGATGGGCCGTTAAAGATCGTATACGAAAGTACTGGAATACCAAGTCTTTTCTCTTTCTCCCTCTCTCTTTCTACAAGTCGACCACCCAAGGTCGAAAAGGACAGTCCTTTCGATACTGTAAGGGCGACCGACCTCCACCTCTCCTCCTCCTCCTCGAGTGAAAGGTGTCTCTTTGAAACATCTTATAGGCTAAAAAAAACGACAAATATATATAGTAAAAACAACACAAACACAATGTCTCAAATGTAAGAGCACTGTTCTTCTTCCAAAAATGAAACAAGATGATCTGTTTGAATTGCGTTAACGACACCGAACCCCCTATTAGTCGCGTTTTACGACAAGCAGGGGATACTATGGGTATATTCTATTCCCGACCCACAGGGGGGGACAAATAAAAAAAGCGAAATATATGGATTGGTCGATTCCGCGATCGCGGAAGAGACTCGAAAATGAGAATCGTCGTGAAGGTCGATAATCCACCACGAGGAATGGCAATAAACTTATTGTTAGTTCCTTTTTCCCTCTCCTAATCCGAAGACAAGGGTCGGAAAAAATATCCCGAAGCGGTCGTACGCTACATTTTTCTTTGTGAAAAACCAGTCGGCGGCGGCTGCAACGGCTGCTAGAAGAGACAAGATTGCATTCCGATGCAAGACTCCTGTGGTATCTCGTGGCGAACAAGGACAACAACGATTCGCTAAACGATTTCGCTTAACCAACCTTTTACAAAACGCAAAGTTACTTTCCATTTAATTTGCTAGAACATTTAGCATCATGAAGATAAATCGAGTGAAGGAAAGAAAAAGAAAAAAGGATTATTCGATGAATGAAAAATATCGAAAAGAAAGGATAGTTTGGAAGGTACATCTCGAGGAACTAAAGCTAAGGAAGAAACTACATAGTTATTTCCCGATCAAAGGAGAGTCCAAGTAGGTCCCCCTTCCTTGCGAAGGTAAACCTGGGAGAACCACCTGTAGGCTGCACGAGAGGTGCTGTTGTCTTTTCACCTGGCAGTCGAAGCTACGATCGCGAGCGAGCAAGGGGAACCGATATTCTTGCTCTCCTTTAGATCTTCTGCTAGTTCAACCGTCGCGATCTTTCGAATATCTCAATGAAGAAATTTCCGAGAACAATTAGATAAGTCATTTTGAAAATATCTCATCGCGAGTGAATATAACTAACACGATTAAATATGTGATTTTATGAATACAACTATTATTTCAATCGTTAAGTGTTTCGGACAATTTTCTCGAAAGGAAAAGTGTCATTTAAAAGGATTCAACATGGACACTGTCCTTGAAAAAATGGGCAAGCTTAATCTGGTAATGTAATACGTTCCTAATCGAATTATATACACATAGTTTCGAATTATAATAGAATGCAATTGGTCCCAAGAGAGAGGAGAGACTCGCTTGGAAACGAGGAAACGCGTTCGCTTCAATGAAATGACATCTAATTCGTGTCCTAATTGCATTATCGTCTAACGTGCTCTATTATTAAGCTTAATTTTAACTAATGATATTTAAACGTTCAGCCGGCGTAAGCTTCTAATAAGAGACCCGTTACGTAGACGTTGCAAACATTTTTTACATCGCGTTCCAGTAGAGATTGTTTCGTTCCAAATTTCCCTGCAATTGCACTTTTGCTTATTGTAATTTGGGAAGCGTCTCTTCTACTTTTTCCCCATGATATTAAATATCGTAGATACTTGTTCGTAGATAAGAACGAGGATCCGAAGGAGGACGCGAACGAACAGGAAACTTCTCGCTTGGGCAATCGCAAATTACGTAAAAAATCACGGTGCTCCTTCGAACGTAAGAAGGAACCACGTCTCGTCTCGCATACGTACGTACTTACAAACTTTCCGATGCGTTACAAAACCTACTTATGATTAATATACAAGACGAATAGTTTGATTTAGAGAAGCCATTGTTTCTTAATAATTATCGATGCGTTCGCTCGAGCGAAAGTTACGAGAGAAAACGTCGTTCGTGATCTACCAAACTGTCGATGTTCTTCTTTATCTAACCTTTATATTTTAAACACTTGTAGTACCTTTTTTGTCCAACTTTTTCTTCTTAAATATTTATGAAATTGAAATAAAATGTTAACATAAAATAATTTCAACTTACATTATCGTACGTGTATCGTGTAGACTTATGCCGCCCAGGTGTGCTCTTTTGTTCGAAGAATTAACGCGAAATAGAAAATAGAACAGGAATAATTGCCGATCGGTATGCGACGTGTCGATGCCACAATGTTTGCTTTCCAATTTTATCCAAACACATTGATCGATCGATCGATCGATTTTGCAAACAGATATTTATCCAATCAATTATTATGATAACCAACATAAATAAATGAAGAGTATATTTGAAATATAAAATAATATTATTTTCGTCTATAGCGTTTTATTTTTCTTCATTCTTTCGTAAATACTCGACAAGAAGAACAACAAGGATAATAATAGACCAAGACAAGTTGAAATTAAGAAGCGAGTCCTCCTTTCTTCCTCGACACTATCTTTCACTCGTTCTTTTCTATCTCTTGTCTATTTTCAGTCGAGTTCTTTCGTAGTTCGCTAGTCCGTAGTTGCGTGACGAATAACAACATCCTTGCGGTCTTGTGAATATTTTCGCGAAAACGAAACAATCGCAAAAAATACAAACGTATTAACCTAATCATAGGTAGATAGTAATCAATAGCGTTTTTAATCGAATACCTTCGAAGGTTAGACTTCTAATTCCATTTACTGATTTAACACGATCAGAAATTATGTATGTGTAACGTAGAGAACAAATAGTTCAAGGTACGTACGATAAGAAACCGATAATAAATTATTCCATTATTACGTAAATCTATTTAATAATTTATATATTAGTCGTACTATCTAATATTGCAAATGGTATTTTGGTAAAAGAATTTTTCATTTAAAAAATGCCGATCGGTCGAAATTAATTTCTAATAAATGATATCGGTATCTAACAATTTGCTTGAAGATTTTCACATCATTTTGAGACTAAATCGCGAACGCTGCTGACATTTGGCTTCTTTATGTACTTACTTACCTACACGTATATGTACGTGAGTATATTTTTTGTATTTTTTTACTTAAGAGATAAGAAATTAGCACGATAAGCTTGTCGATGCTTTAAAAGAACTCATTGTTGCTCGAGCATACGACAAACTCGTATTAAAAAACGTTTCCAAGTGTCTCGCTTGAAATGACTTCGAATCAAGAAAGGGATATCGAGAGTTACGGTGAACCCGTGACGCCTCCGCGTCGATGGGTTTCTTATGTAGTAGGTGAACGTTTTTTGCGCTATAGTTGTGATAGAAAAGATTTTCTTTCCCTCGAGGATATACAGTGTGTCTGTGTGTGTGTGTGTGTGTGTGTGTGTGTGTGTGTGTGTGTGTGTGTGTGTGTGTGTGTGTGTGTGTGTGTGTGTGTGTGTGTGTGTGTGTGCTCTTAAAAGTACTCTTAAACTTGTTTATCTCATCATTTTTCCTAGCTAAGATGTATACAAAATAACAAAAGTCTATTTATACATATAATAGATTAATATTTGAAAAATACACTATAGAAGAAATATACGTTGAAATAAAAACCTCTAACTTGCGAGTACTTTTTAGACTCGGTGTATATCGTAGAAAAGTGAAAGAAAAAGTAACGTTACGTTGACAATTCCGCGAGTCAAGATTTTCCTTATTTTCTCTCTCTTTCTCTGCTTCCTCTATACGACTAGATATCATCCTGACGTAAGAACGATGCCGATTTTCGATTTAATCTTGATTTTCAAATCGAATGAACAAAAATTGTAACGCTAGAGTTTTCGTCGGTATCGAAAAGGCTGCAATCTATAAGAGTTGATTTATCTTGACTTGAGAATACCACAAAATGCTACGAGAGAAGTAAATGAATAAAAACTTATTAATATAACGTGTTGCTTTTGTTACATACCTTTAGAGGATTCCGAGCTGTCCTATAAAGAGTCCACAACCACTGAAGGAATTTGTCGGCCGCTGTCAAACGATGCCATCGAGAGTGAAGAAGTCTTTTTGCGGTTGCCTCCAAGTAAGTACACGAGTTTACTTCCTGTAAATCTACTTAAGAAACATTACGTTTCATTTACTTTCTTCTTTCTTTTATTCGATATACATTTATATATATATATATATATATATATATATATACGCGCGCAATATACAATAAATAATTCACGAATAAAAAGAGGTATGAAAATTAATATAATATAACGTTAAATGAGATAAATATGTTAAATATGTATCCCTGACAGTATATCATATGTAAATGAAGTTTATCATATAGTATACTTATAATTAGTAGTAGTAGATATATAAGATAGCAACTGATAACATTAGTATGTTACACAGAATGTACTATACTAATAAATGTTTTCTTATCTCTCTACCATTAATATATATTTATGAAATAATCTAAAGACTAGACGATTATGCCAACGTAATCTCAATCGAGTATAAGTTTCTCCTTTTCGAAAATCTTTTTTCAAAGAGGAAAATCCGCGTGGAATCTTCGTCGATCATTCATCGATATTCTATCCACAAAGTTCTTCTTCTACTTCTTCCTCTCGTTCTTTGTATCCGTTTATTTTCTAGAACGCTATTACGTTGTAATATCTTGGTATGCATCTCCGCATTCCTGACTTAAACTGCAAACTATGCGATTTCTCTAACTTCTTTTTGTTTCTTTTTACAATGCAACGAATTATCATTGAATGATTTTGCAGAGAAGTGAGATGATACGTTCAAGAGATAGGAAATAAAAACGAGTTTGCGCGCGTGTGTTTAATCAACGATTTTTATCTTATCAGAAAACGAAAGAGAGAGAGAGAGAGAGAGAGAGAGAGAGAGAGAGACAAACTTATTGTTAGTTAACTCAGCTTCGTCTAATCGTAGCCAAGGAAAAGGACAATCTTCTATCGTAAAATCAAATTTCAAAATCGAAACCGATACAAATATTCGAATAAAATCATGTACTCGGCACGTGATCCGCTACACTTGAGAGACACCTTCCAATGTCAAGGCTCTGTGCATTTTTTTAGACTACTAAAAGACACGTTGTATATACATGAGGTTGTCCCATAAGTTCGTTCCTTTTTTTTGATGCGACTTCAATAGTCTTCTAATAGTCGTAGTAACACTCCCATAAAAGGTGCAAATCTCGTCTGCAGTGTCCTTTGCCCTATTACTTTTTTTTTAGCATGTGCAATGAAGCATAACGAATGATGCTTCTTTTGCGAGAAATAACTTATGGGACAACCTAATACTATACGATAACATATTGTTTAAAAGAATCTTTTAATTAAATGATATATTGAATAATGCGGAAAGATCGATCAACGATCATAATTTCCGAATGAAATAAAAGTAAGAAAAAGAAAAGGGCGTCAATGAACTCGGCAAAGGCCAGTCGTCCTTGAATGAATCCCGTACACGAAGCCTATAAATTCTATTAGATCGATCTACCGTCACGTTACATACCGAGTGCCACGTAAAACAAGAAGCTTCCATCCGCGATCCTTGACAAACTATCCTCTTTCTCGTCCATCCTTCACCTCTTCCTAGGTTGGATAGGTGGAATAAAAGCTTCTCTTCCGTATTTAAAATGAGTATATTAATCGCCGAAGTATAATTACTTCTATATTATCTTCTCTTCTCCTTCATTCTCGCCCTTCATAACGCTTAATGGATTTTCCAAGAAGCACTTAAATCATATCGTAAACCGAACGGTAAACTTATGTACTCTAATTGTAAATGTTTTTCTAGAAAATGTCCAACTCTTAGGAAGCTTCTTCTCGAGAAGAATCATCTATTGTTTCTAATCATCATCATCATCACTTTTGTTTGTAATCATAAATGCGACTTAATTGCATCCTTTTTCTTCCTTTGTATAATTTCTTTTGTTTTAAGTAAAATACTTACTTATGTTAAACATTTGAATAAGTTTGAAAATTTGGATCGAGGTCGAGGAACCCAAGAACCATTGGATTTGTGATCGGCTCTTCGAAGACGTAATCGTGGTCGCGCACGACATAAATCGAAGAATCGCGAACGACCAATGCGAATAGATAATTTCCTAGTCACGTGTGAAAGTAACTTTGGAATCCAGCGCCCAAGCCGGTCTCCTGACCTTTCTTCCCGCCTCTGTTCGATCGAATAGAACGAGCAAGCTTCTACGATGTACATCTCCAAGAGATGGTACTGCTGCATGGCCATCTTTTCCAATCACCGTTCCATTTAAAAATAAAGCCTGAAACTAATTCTGATCGCGATAAAAAAGATGAAATTATTAAGGATGTCAACATTGGGTTCGGATATTTAATCTTTAAAGTAAAGGAACTTTTTTTGTCTTTCTTAACTTTCATCGATAGAAACGCGAAATGTTGGAACTGCGAAATGTTGGAACTGCGAAATGTTGGAACTGCGAAATGTTGGAACTGCGAAATGTTGGAAGTGGGAATCGTAAAGATCTAGGAAGATTGTAGTTATTTAGAAATAATTGTTACTCGCTAGGTAAGGTTGCAAGACCTGCTTCGATTCGAGTTCGCTCCGAATCACTCAGCCCTTGTTATTTTTCGACAGGATGACGAGCCACCGGAAATCACGTACTGCGTGGTGGAACACACTGGTACGCTCACGCTTCAAGCAATGACGCCGACTTTGCCCATGCCAGCCGAAGAAGAACTGAACAAGATGTTCCTTGAATTGGTCGACGAGCTCGATTTGACGCAAGCTAATCGACAAGCAGTTTTGGCACTTCCGGCTAATAAAAAATGGCAAATATATTGTTCAAGAAAGGGAAATGGAACGCTCGAAAATGGGGGCTTGAGAACTACTGATCTTAGCGGTGATCCTGACGATTACATTGACAGGATCAGGGCCATTGCCAGTGTAAGTTATTTACATTATATTTTCCTTTAAGATCAATTTAATTAGCATTTCAAATGAACATTCGACCTTTATGCACCACGAGGTATAGTATATAAAAAAGAAGAAAAATAGTGTATATTCGTAGTTAAAGAAAATCTTATTATATTTCAGAGTCAATTTTCAGAGGAAGAAGAGGAAGCAGCGATACGAATGCGCCAAGTGGAAGCTCTGAAGACAGCTCTGAGAACACAACCACACAGCTTCGTCCTAAGGTTCATCGAACTGGATGGTTTGAACGCTTTACTACAAGTTTTAGAGAGAATGGACGTGGAGGCAGCCAATAGCAATCTCCACACGAGCGTGATAGGTTGTTTAAAAGCTTTGATGAACAATTCGGTGAGTGTGAGAGCTAGCGAATCGGTCGACATTATTTATCGGCTGAGAAGAAAAAAATAGGATAAATTATCGATGAAATTCCTTGGTAGAATGGCAGAGCACACGTACTGGCACATCCCACAGCGATCAATACCATATCTCAATCGCTGGCAACAGAAAACATTAAAACGAAAATTTCGGTATTGGAGATACTCGGTGCAGTATGTTTGGTTCCCGGCGGTCATCGTAAAGTTTTACAAGCTATGTTACATTTTCAACAATATCATTCCGAGAGAACGCGTTTCCAAAGTATAATCAATGATCTGGATAAAAATTTTGGTATCTACAAGGACAATCTCTCTTTAAAAACAGCCATAATGTCATTCATCAACGCCGTACTTAATTACGGGCCTGGTCAAGTCACTTTGGAGTTTAGGCTCCATTTGAGATACGAATTACTCATGCTCGGCATTCAGCCGATTATTGAGAAATTGAGGAAATATGAGAACGAGACGCTCGATAGGCATCTCGATTTCTTTGAAATGGTTAGAAACGAGGACGAGAAGGAATTGGCTAGGAAGTTTGAGAAGGAGCACGTCGACACTAAAAGCGCCACAGCTATGTTTGATTTGTTAAGGCGAAAACTCAGTCATACGGCAGCTTATCCTCATCTTCTTAATTTGTTACAACATTGTCTCTTATTGCCGCGTAAGTTTAAAAAGACAAATTTGGAAAAATATTCCGATATATTATTAATCTGCATTTGTTCGATTTCCATTACAGTCGATTATGGCTCGCATCCCCAACACTGGTTACTTTTCGATCGAATCGTCCAACAAATCGTCCTTCAGACTGAATCAAACGAATCGGGAACACCAAAAAATCCTGACGTAGCTCCGATCGATATCAACGTCAAAGAAATCGTTCATCTGTTGGCTAAAGAAGAGGAACTAGTTGCAGCCAGGAAGAAAGCTGAAGAATTGGAACGTGAAAATTCTGATATGTCAACGAGATTGGCTAAGAAAGAACAAGAACTCGATTTACGAACGCAAGAAAAGGTAAGAAGATAAAAGAAAGTTTTCTCATGGAACGTAACATTGAATATTTTATTAAGGTTCTATCTCTAACTATATCTTTATTCATGGATGATTAAAATCAAATGATTTTGTAGGAAGATATGGAGGCAAGTTTAGCGAGAATCAAGGAACGTCTGGAAAAAGAAACTTCGATGCATATAGAAACGAAACAGAGGATATCGGAGTTAGAGGATAATCTTGAAACTCTATCGCGTCAAATTAATAACGAAAAATCCGAGAGAAAACGCTTGGAACAGTTGGTAGCATCGGGAAGTTTGCCGGACGATGCCAAAGCTACTTTAAAAATCGTAGACGACGAGGTCCTGGAAAAAGTCGAAGCCAAAGCAATGCCACCTCCGCCACCTCCACCGCCCTTGGCCCCGCCTCCTCCGCCTTGTTTAATGCCAGCTGCTCCAGCTCCCATGAAGGTGCGCAATATCATTTCCATTTCAAAGTAGAAGCTGATTTTTTTATTTAATTTATATCCTTTTAACAGGTTGAGATAGTGAAAAATGTTCCTCAACCAAGCAATCCGCTAAAATCCTTCAATTGGTCGAAGATACCCGAACAAAAGCTCCAAGGTACGATTTGGTCCGAGCTGGACGATACGAAATTATACAACGTCATGGATCTAGAATCGATTGACAAGATCTTTTGTGCCTATCAGAAGAATGGCGTATCCGCAGAAGGTTCTATCGAAGATCTACGTACCTTGGGAAAGAATAAGAAAACTATGTCGGTAATCGACTCGAGAAGAGCACAAAATTGTACGATATTATTGTCGAAACTTAAAATGTCCGACAATGAGATTACTAGGACGATATTGTCGATGGATCAACAGAACATATTACACATCGACATGGTCGAGCAATTGTTAAAATACATTCCATCGTCGGAAGAAGCTGCTCTATTGGACATGCATCAAAAGGAATTACAAAATAGAGCTGATTGTTTTCTCTATCAAATTTCCAAGTAAGTCGCTTTATCTTCTTCTTCTCCTTATTCTTCTCCTTATTCTTCTCCTTATTATTCTCCTTATTATTCTGATTCGCCTCTTTTTGTATGAAAATATTCTTCCAGAGTTCCTCATTACGAACAGAGACTGAGATCGTTGCATTATAAAAAGAAATTCTCAGCTAGTATAGCAGAATTAACTCCAAGGATGCGAGCGGTTCTTGAAGCTAGTCGTCAAGTTGCGAGATCTAGAAGACTGAGGAAACTGTTAGAACTGGTTCTAGCCCTTGGGAATTACGTAAATCGCGGAAACGCTCGCGGTAATGCTTGTGGCTTCCGATTAGCTTCTTTGAATCGTCTAGTCGATACGAAATCATCTTGCTCAAAAGGCACCACTCTTTTGCATTATCTCGTACAAATCCTTGAATCGAGATTCCGTGAAGTTTTAGACATCGAAGAAGATATGCCACATGTTAGAACAGCTGCTAGAGTTAGCATGGCCGATCTTCAAAAAGAAGTAGCCAATTTAAAGAATGGTTTGCAAGACGTTCAAAGAGAAATTGGTGAGTATCGATATTCTAGATTTCTTTACTAAAGAATTACCACGTTTTCCTCTTTTGTAGAATTTCATCGAGGTCAATCACAGGTATTGCAAGGTGACATGTTCTTACCAGCTATGAGAGACTTCCAGGCACAAGCCACGTGTAGATTAGCTGAAGCTGAGGATTTGTTCCAAGATATGAAAACCAGAGTAAGAACGGATGATCTCGATTTTATCGCGCGATTCGATAAATAAAATATTCCTTAAAAACAATTCTTCATTTCATCGTACAGTTCGACCGAGCTGTCAGACTCTTTGGGGAAGACTCGGCAGGTGTACAACCAAACGAATTCTTTGGTATATTTGAAAATTTCCTTCAAGCACTTGCCGAAGCTAGACAAGATGTTGAAAACATGAGAAAGAAGATAGAAGAAGAAGAACGTCGAGCTAAACAGGAACAAGAGGTATCAAAATAAAGAATTTATTTCACGAGTTTTCCATAAGAATACATTTTTTAATGACTTTTTTGTTCGTTCAGTTAAGGAAAAGGACAATCGAAAGAAAGAATTCTCGTGAAGGAATATTAAATAGTATATCGTTAAGTAAAAAGAACGAAGCTAATGGTAATCAAGGAGACAACAAAGGTGAATTCGACGATCTAATTTCTGCGCTTCGTACCGGAGATGTTTTTGGCGAAGACATAGCCAAATTTAAAAGATCTAAACGTAGACCGGTAACACCGTGTGGTCAAGAATCACGTAGACACAGTGCTCATAGAGAAGATTCACGAGAACGACATTAGGCTATTACCGTATAATTTATTTCTATTCGAGGATAAGAAAGGAGCACGAGAGATGGAAAGAAAAGTTCATCGAAATAGAACCTTTCAACTCATTTAAAAGGGCAAGCTCGAATTTCAACGAGATTCCTAATGATTAATAACAATCTCAATTCGTGATTATAATTTTTCAAATGACGAGTCTTTATACAAATTATATTTCACGATCGATGGTGCTACGTTGATCGTTTCCTAAAATAATTCACAGACTGCGTAGATAGATTTTATTCGCTTTTTCAAGTCAAAGAGAAAGAGAGATGCTAATAAAGCACCAAGATTCAAAAATGGACGGGAAGAATCGATTTGTTATTTGTACATAAATCATACCAGCTTTCATGTTTCTTTAAAAAAGGAACAAACTGTTCGGACCAAGAAAAAGTCTTACGGATCAAAAACGTTTTCGTCGACATTGATATTAATCAAAACGCGAATTGATATACATATTTGTAATCATTTTCGTTTGTAACCCAACGTTTATTCATTCAACGTGAAGAATATTGACAAAATAGGGGCCTACAATGACATTTGTTGTGTCAAGTAATTCACAAGTCTGAATTTTCTATCGTTCAATTAGAAAAGAAAAACACTGATTGGACAATTTTTCATTGTCAAATGTTTGCGATATAGTTCGACGTTTAGAAACGAAAATGTACGAGAAAGAAAAAAAACGGAGGTTACAAAATCGTGCTGTATAGAAATCAGTGTTTTATAAGCTTTTGTACTTTTGTATATATATATGGTAATATCGATGTCTAGTTCTCGCCAAAAATCTAAAACTAAATTTCTTGCTCGCGAGAATCTCGATGTCTGATAATTAATTAATTAATTAATTAATTATATATTACGCGTCTCTCTCACTGATATCACCATGTATTAATATTTGAGAAAATATATCTAATAAAAGAGTAAGATAAGAATCGTAAATCATAGAAACGTTTATAACGTTTCATTATTATTTCAACTTACCGAATTTCTTCCGTCTTCATTTTTCTAATCTTCATTTTCTAAATTTTTCATTCAAATTATCATCCTCTTCACTCCCAATGACCAAGATTCTTTACACAGAATAAATCACATTAATACTTATTTGTGCTACCGTCAAAGAAAACTTTTCAAAGAAATAGCAAAGTTGTACAATTTATAGCATTGCTATCTCTGATATTTCTTTGAAAAGTTTCTGTAAATATTTTTTATACTAAGAGAGTGAATAGATTTTAATGACTCTTATATTAAATTAAAGTACACCCTTTTTTCTAAATATCTTATCGAGTTATAAATCGATTTGCAAAGGTTCAGGCTATATTTTCTAGACATTAGTTAGACAGATATTCATAGAAATTTCCACAGAAATCTGTATCTTTTGTTTCTTATCGTATCGAAAGATACACAGGTTTAGAACGAAATGTTTTTTACCTGTATGGGTTGTTTTGGGGGGGAGGGCTTGCGTATGGCTGTGTGTGTGTGTGTGTGTGTGTGTGTGTGTGTGTGTGTGTGTGTGTGTGTCTATGCCCGAGAATGTATTATTTTCAACGTTGTTTAAATAGTAATTTGATATTCTATAGAATATCAAAGTATTATGTTCGGTGCCTAGGAAAAACTGGAAGAATTTTGTAACTTCCGACCTCGTCTGAAGGCTCTTTGCATTCATAGTAATGCCGAGGAATTACTAGCAATGACTGATTTACGGCTTTGACGGTAACATATATATAATAGAAATGTGCTCTTAAGAAGGATTGCAAGATTAGGTCTACCTTAACAGCAGAAAAAAATGAATAAGTGCTCACTATTTGCTCAACTTTATTTTATCAAATATTTTTAATTTATCGTTAATTAGTTGAAAAAAATTATTACACTTTGAATAATTATGAAATGGCGACGTCATGAGTGGGAGATATGTTATACGCATGCTCAACCACAAATTCAAGGCGCCAGAGCACTTTAAAAAAAATGAAATTACCCTAAAGGGGACAATTTAAAGTTTATCTCCAAAGTAAGAAAAAAAAGTTGACATAGAACCGCAACAGCATAAAAAAATGAAAAAATGATAATATTTACCTATTGTTTATACATTATGAACAATTAACTACTTACTTCTTTTCACTACCCTCTAGGTTGTTACTTTTTCGGTATAAACTGTAATACCAACAGGATGGTGGTAAATTGGCATTTGCATTGAACGTCGATAAGGCAGTAACTATTTTTGTTTATCATTTTATGCAATTTTCGAGAAAGAATATTTCTTTTAATTTCAATATCGTAATATAATGTAATATCGAATTACAATTATATTTTGAATTGAAAATATGTTCATCAATCCATGCGAAATATTTAATTACTCAATATTTTCTACGTATAATAAATGGAAGTATCGTTTATCAAATCTCTCTCTTTCTCCCCCTATCTCGCTCTCTAATAATATTGCACTATGAATTTAATAGTAATTTAATAAAATCTCAACTTATTATTGCTCAATGTCCCTTTAGTCACGTGTCTGATATAATAATACTGATATGTGCCGAACCTAATCTAATTGTAAGAAGAATAGTAGATATATAGAGTAACTGAATTCACACACAAAAACTATCAGGTTATATCGAAGATATTTCATATTTTATACTTTTGTTTATATATTGTTTGTATAATTTAACACTTACATTTATTAATTAAATTAACATTTCTCTTAAAGAAAATGAATATCTTTTAATCACTTGAGAGAGTCATTTTCGTTCATACGCATATTATATTGTAAATATAATTCTCTGTAACAGTGATAATACTATTTTTATATTTGGTTGTAGAGTACAGTTCCCCCAACACCTTGTCATTATACATGCTTTGTAAAATATTATTGCATCAAGTGATATTTGCACTAAATGTTAAAATCCATGAATGATCGAGTAAACAAAACATAATCATTCGAAGAAGATTATCAAGGTTTACAAGTAAAAACTTCCCTATCAAGATGTTTCATCGAATTATTTATCATATTAATCTCGTTAAACGATAGTTGCCAAATATTTATTACGAAATCTTGTTGTGTAAAATAATGCAAGTAGTGTTGCCGTGTATTACCAATGTTATTAAATGCGCGATTAAAATATAATTAGCATCGTATTATTAAGGTTAGAAAACGTTCACTGCTAGATTCATTGTTACTAATACAACATTTTTTGTAGTTTTTCATTTAAAGTTTCTTCATTAGAAGCGTATACAGTATAATATTACAGTAATATCAAAAATATATTCAAATAAGTTTATAATATAATACATAGGGATGACATACCTTTTTCTCTATAATTTCAGATCTATGAGAATTCAGATGAGATAATGAGATATGAGTAGATATTTTCTGTAATATAGAGACAAGATATGCAGGATCAAATAAAAGGAAGACTTTTGCCTACTTTTCTTGCAATATTTGAATCTAACTTACAAGTCAACGTTGAAGATGTCTGCTGTGGAGGCACCCCCTTTTATTCGGACCATAGAATGGGATATGATGGACAAAACAAAGTTTTTCCCATTGAGTATGCTTTCTTCTTTCTCCGTACGATGTTGTCTTTATCCTCTTACCGTAATAAAAACCCGACTTCAAATACAAAGACACAATGTCATGTATAATGGTAAGTATGCAATAATACAACAAGAAGTTTCTGTTTTAATTTAGAAAGAAAAAGACAAATTCAAGATTCTTTATAGATCTGTAAATTTGTATTACGTAATATAACTAGTCTAACAACACAGACATTAGCTAATAGTAATTTATATTAATTACAGGAATGATAGATGCCTGTAAAAAAATTTATAAACTAGAAGGGTTTTCTGGGCTCTATAGGGGTTTTTGGATAAGTTCTATACAAATTGTATCTGGAGTATTTTACGTATCGACTTATGAAGGAGTACGTCATTTGTTAGGAAGAGAATCTCTTAATCTTCGTATAGATTCTCGTGTAAAAGCATTGATTGCAGGAGGTGCTGCTAGTTTAGTGGCTCAAACAATAGTCGTACCATTTGATATCCTTAGCCAACATCTAATGGTTCTCGGGATCAATAACAAAAGTGATAAAGTTTATATTGATAAGGTGAGTAAACGAAAATATGGACCAATTAATATATACATTAATAATAAGTTCAATATTGTCGCGACAGTTAGGAATGAATCCACTTGGTTTAAAAGTGGAGCCTGGAAGGTCACGCGCTCACATATCCATAGAAGTTGTAAGATCCATATATCACAGAGATGGCTATAGAGGCTTCTATCGTGGATACATAGCATCTTTATGCGCATACGTACCGAATAGTGCTCTTTGGTGGGGCTTGTATACAGTATATCAAGGTAATCGTTAATCTATTTTATGACAATTCTTTAATATCTATGCAATGCACTAACTAATACCCACTAATTTCCTTCCATTGATTTTTATAGATGAACTTATAACAATATTTCCAATATGGTTTTCGCACTTATTCATTCAGGCAGTGGCTGGTACGCTTGGTGGTTTTACAACAACTGTTATTACAAATCCTTTAGACATTGTAAGAGCAAGGTTACAAGTGCAAAGATTAGATAGTATGCTTACCACATTCAAGATTTTGTGGATCGAAGAAAGACTTAAAATGTTTACAAAAGGCTTATCTGCTCGTCTTGTTCAATCGGCTTGTTTCAGTTTTACAATAATATTAGGATATGAAACTATCAAGAGAGTTAGTATTAATGAAGAATATAAAAGTTTTATTAGATGGTGAATTTTAAAATGTCCATTTGTATAAATGTACATTTAAATGAAATCAAATGCATTTTATTAAAAAATACATATGCAGACGCACAAATGTGCACACACAAACTTTTCTAAAAGAGAAGAGAAGTAAATATACAAAAGTAAGTTGCTTCGTCGATTGGGAGAATCTAGAGAAATATTTTCAACGCCGAGTATAAAATATAATGATATATTTAAAAAACTAAACAAGGAGGTTGAAGTCAATATTAAGTAGGCTAGAAATCGCAAATATTGAATCATTCATGGCACAAATCTACTAACGTAACGAACTAACGTAAACGATCAGCTATATCAAAAGCTTTTTTTCATAATATTAATCTGACCAGTTTTCATATTATTGATATTTGTTGAATCTAGAAGAAACATTTTGCCATAGAAAATCTATCATTACAGTATGTTTATTGTCTCGCTATAGAAATAACTTTTAATTTACTATTATATTTATATAACGTATTCATTACTAGAGTAATTGAAAGATATATGTATATATACAGTGAGTGTCATTTAAAATCGTACACCGTTAAACAATTAGAAGACAATTTAGAAATAAATATATTAATATATCTTTATTACGTATTTAACGAATTTTTCTTGAAAGGATTATTTATAAAAAATAAATTAAGCAAATACGATACTAATGCAGAATAAACGCCCGTCACTGAAAATTCAACGCGTTGGTGTAACTGTAAAAATAGAAGTAATACCTGCTATTTCCGCATTTAAAAGTTGGTCGTCCTTGTTTTCAAGATCATTTAAATGTTTTTCTTTTATTGTCAGAATCAATTTAATATGTATTAAAGTAAAAATAATAAAAAGTACATTCGTATTAATATTAAATAACTCGTAACACAAGGCTATTATAAAATCATTCTAATTCGATATTTTTGTGGCAGGTAAACTTTATTATATACGCTGGTTATAATTAAATAATGTTTAAACAATGGTACATTTATTTAAACATTGCATATCTATTAATATACTTGGAATATTAAACAATCTCGATCTGATATTTGATTAGAAAAAAATGTTCAACTCAAAGTTATCATTGGCCAGAATCGTTAAATACTTATTATACTTATTAGGCTACAAAAGTATCATGTTAGACATATAGTATGTTTAAAAATAACCGATAAAAAATAATACCAAATAATAAGTTCAACATTTTAATTGGAGGGTGGCGTTTAAATGCCTTTTACCCGGCAAACATTGACTTTTCGAACAAATTAATAAGTACTTGTAATTTAAATGATTTATTTCTCAATAATTCGAGATTTTTTATTAATTAGGACCATCATCCTATATTATCCCTTAGAATCTATAGAATATTTCGAGCCTCTGAATGTTTGTAATTTATTTGAAGATGATAAATTAAAAAAATAAAAGAAATTAGTTTGGAAGTGTATTGCATATACCGTTATTCAAAGATGTCTGAAAATATCCCGCCAGTGAGAAGTTCGCTCTTATTGGCGAATACGCATGTAGACCATTGCGAATAGAATAATAGAGAGTAGATTTTAAGGATAAAAACGTTAGGAATAATTTTGTCAAGAGAAATAATCGTTTAGCAAGAAAGTGGCGCTAATAACGTTATTAATTGAAACTAACGGTCTATTTGTAATGACGAAAAAGGTGTGACTACTGATTGGCCGCATCATTGGTAAGTGGCGCTAAAACCGTCGCTTGGAATTGTTCGATCGACGCGACTATTATTAAATTAAACCGCAAGATCTTTTCCAAAAGGATGCTTTTTGAGAAGAAAAAGCAACTAACAATAAGAGAAATAAGGCGTGGAGAGTATTCTGCACCGTGAAGAGAGAAACGTTCGACAGATTTAACACATCCTCTCTCCCTCCCTTCCAACGTCGATCGTTTTTGCTGGAAGCGAAGAAAGAAAGGGGGAAGACAAGGGAAGGCACCGGTCGTCGCAGTGCGGCGGATATATCACGCGAGTCGTGACAGATCGGAGAATCGTTTCTCGAGTAATACTATTAACAAAAATGCCAGAGGAAGAGGGTGCGTCCTAAATGTGATTTTTTGTGTGCGGCTGATTCTGCATGCGATGCCCCGACCAATAAATATAATAAACGACCAGGACTATACTAACATCGAGTACACTAGTATATGCAAGGGTATTGTCATATTTGTCGATAAGATTAGGAACATTAATGCGTTTGTGCATTTTCACCTTTGAGCTATTTTCTTATCGGAAAAGTCCAATAAACGTTTCCGACGCGAACAAAGTTCGTGCGAGAAACGTAATCGTTGTTTAAATGTTGTATGAATAATCGCGTAAGCGGAAAAATGCCCGCGTCTCGTGGAGGCATGGTGCATGGTGTTATGCCACCGCACTACCTCCACGAGTTGCCGGCACAAGACGAGGAACGGCTCGAAAATATATTCAAAAAGCTCGATCTCGATGGAAACGGCAGAATCGACGTGCACGACCTTTCAAAAGCGCTTCACGAGGTCGGTGTCCACAAGCGGTACGCTGAGGTAATCCTTTCTTTTCTTTCCTTTTCTTCTCTTTCCTTTTCTTTTCTTTTCTTTACTTTTTCATTCTTATGTAAATGGACGATCTCGTTGCATTTCCACCTGTCCACCTACTTCGTCTAGTCATCGTCCAAAGCATATTAAATAATATTTATTTCACATTGTTCAGCTTGAAATGTCCTTACCGGCATCATTTTCTTATCGTAATTATTGTATTAACGAGGGAAATAGGTCAAGCGCATCTTTTAAATGCACACGTACCTACATACATGCACAATCTGCTTACTTAACATTACGTACACTCGACAGTCTAGTATTTTATGCAATATTGTATTTCTATGGTTTCTTCGCCTAGAGATAAACAAGAACTAATCGCTCCAGTATTACGTCGTGTCGATCCCTCAGAATTAAGACTAATCAAAACTTTATCCATTTTCTTCCATTTGAATGAAAAATAAGCGTGATTACTGCTTTTAACAACTTCATTTCATCTACATTCCACATCATTGCAAATAAGTATTTTCATATAATCTATATTATATAGATAATGTGTACATGTAATATATGGTTGTTTTTTTCTTTCAGAAATTCCTTGCTAGATCGGATAGTACAAAAAGCGGTGACATCAGCTTGGCAGAATTTATACATTATGTTCGCGAGCATGAAAAAAATCTTCGTCTTCAATTTTCTGATCTTGACAAAAATAGAGACGGTGAGTATATTATACGATAGAACGTTATTTTACATTAGCACGTAAAGAACTTTTAATAATTATCTATAGAGAGTCATACAATTGTTTCCTTCGTTGTAACGGTCATGTGCCAATTTATGCTCTTAACATTTAACCAAATACTTTTTTCCTTTCTTCTCTTTGTAAGCTGTAATGTCCTTGTGAGAGAAAAGATTGATCTTGTTTTATCATCGAGTATGCATCTATTTGCTCGATTAATAACCGATTTTCTATCCAAAATACCTAATGACTGATTTGATCGATACAAAAATCAATCTATAGACAATTAAATTACCTTCTGGTAATGAAATAAGTCTACTTATAAAACAAATTTAAAAATCTAAATACAAACTGCTTACTGATCCGTGTCATTTTATTCATAGGCAAGATCGATCTTGAAGAGTTGATAAGAGCATTTAAGGACTTAGGAATAGAAATGGATCGTGGCGAGGCAACCAAGTTGCTACAACGGTAAGATGTCCTATCTTACAAATTAGTGTGACGTATTAATGATCTGCTTTGTCATTGAACTACTTTAGACCATTACCAATTTGGATGGAATAATCTTTTAGTTTCTCTTTACAATTGATTTGCAGAATGGATAAAGATGGAAGCCTTAATATAAGTTTCAACGAATGGCGAGATTTCCTCTTGTATGCACCGAGCACCAATATCCATGAACTTATACAATATTGGCGACATTCTACTGTAAGTATTTTCTGAGGCTCTAAACAATCTCTTATTTTATTATCGAATAAATTAAACAATTGCATTGTACATATTTAAATACATATGCATACAATTTATTATTATGATTCATCAATAGAGCGTTTTCGAAAGCGTCGCGTTAACGCATTACTCGTACGTAGTACACATAACAATCGTCGTTTTGTCCAATCAAAACTCAACGTGGTAGGGGGAATAGTCTGACGTGTGCCATAAACATGATCGTCTGCAATCTAGGCCGCCACTGATTCGTCGACGAAGAAGGCTCGTCCGTGGCTGTGACGTAGGAATCGTCATTAGATATGACCTTCCTCATCTCCAGCTGTTTCTTCCTTTATTTTTATCTTTCTTCCTTTCTTTTCTTCCTTCTTTCTCTTGTACATTTTTCGACAGGTGAATACAACGCTTGCGCGTTAATTCTCTCCTCCCTTCCTTCCTTTTCTTACGTGTCATGTGCTTGCTTATATACTTTTTTTCTCCTCCATGCATCGAATGTATCTCAACCGTTTCGATGAACTCATATACTCGAGTTTGTTGAACTTTAAATATCATACAGCTAGAAATCATACGACATTGATTTCTTTTACAATCCTAAACGATCTTACTGCTAATGTTTATTTCTAATCATTCAGAATTATTTGTTCAAAATGTATTCGAAAACAAAAATTGTTTTTTACGTCATCGTCGTCGTCGTCGTCGTCGTCGTCGTCGTCGTCGTCGTCGTCGTCGTCACTCGAACGTGAACTTTGAACATGGTTGATTAAAACGTCTTATCAAAATGATTATTTATTGCTATTTATTTTTCAGCGTCGAGCGATACGCGTCTGTTTATTCTAATTAGAAATGCCTCGACGATCAAAACTTTATCGTAATTTAGATAATCTTCCAAAACAACTACTGTCTTTTTCTTTTTTTAATAATAATGGTTACACGAAGGTAGAGGAAAAAGTCGGAATTACGTGCAATTATGACGGCATATAGCGATAACCAGTGCAGGAAGTACGTGTACAAAGAGTTCTTCTGTCTCTATGCTCTTTCTGTTTTTTGTCGTTCACAATACGAGATCCTACATATTACCTCATGAATGAGATAGGAAGAAATATTAAATAGAGATAAAGAATGTTCCATTCTATTAAAAATCTTAACATTAAGAAACTAAATATAAATAATATTTGCATAAAGTGATGAAATTTTTCCTGTCATTTCGTCAGCTGTTTCTAAAGCCATCGAGGTCATCGCCTTGCGTCGTCTCCGGGTACTTGCAAGTGCTGTATACGCATATTCTCGTACTTTACTCTAGTGTAATTACCAATAATTAATTTGTATCTATATGATTATTCATTATCATATCTTTTCTTAACTCGAATTGTGTATAGAATTAATTAGAGTTCCAATTGTCTAAATTCTTTCTTCTCTTACTTTGGAAAATTGAATAGAAACACGTACATCCTACATATATATATTTCTTTTAGGCAGCTGAAAATATGCAGCTGTTACATGACCACCAATTATTATCCACGAACAGGGTACGAGTGAAAGGAACCTTTGATCTTATTTTATCACATTCTATCTAAAATAAAAACAACTTTCTTTAGAAATATTACAAACAACCAAATTTACTAACTTAACTGAATACTTTTTAGACAAGAAAATAATTCCATCTCGTTTTACAGATCAAGTTTGCGCAGGAATTATCGAAGGAAGATTTAAGAGTACTTTTGCAACATGATAAATAGAAGAGATTTCTAGACGGATAAATGACTTTCTTCCTCGCTGCACGTCGTTCGCTTCAACTCCATTAGAGTTCCTAGATTCGGTCGTCTGTATAGGAGAAAAAATGAAATTCAAAGTTTAGCTTTGCTTTTAATACCTGACCAAGTGGAACTCCCATTCCGACGATATTAACAGTAGACGAAGTGGCGAAGGAAATGTGCGTTCATTTCTCTCTCTCTCTCTCTCTCTCTCTCTCTCTCTCTCTCTCTCTCT